TCAGAAGCTGTGTGAAGGAAGAAGAACTCCTGAAATGGAGACACCATTAATGAGCCAGAAGTATACTTCAGAATCTGACTATTCTGCGGTGAAAAGGTTGAAGGATGTTAAATTTGTTCTGTGGACAGAGACAGTGAAGATATGGAAGATAGCTTTGCCAGTGGCATTGACCCATCTCTTTCAGTTCCTCACAAACTCCTCAACTTCCATCTATGCTGGTCATCTAGGTGACATTCAACTCTCTTCAATCTCTGTTAGCCAAGGTGTTCTCAGTTCCATCTATTTTTACTTGCTGGTTCGTTACCACATGCCTAAACTCTCATACTTTGCTCCTTTTTTCTTCATCTTATCTAACTCTCAACTGCAAAATTGCAGTTTGGTATGTCATCTGCACTGGCAACACTTTGTGGCCAAGCTTTTGGAGCAGGGCAGATTGTTTCTACTTGCCTTTATGTTCAAAGGTCATGGATTATACTCACCATCACTTGCACAATCCTCTTGCCTGTTTATGTATATGCCACACCACTGTTGAAGTTGCTAGGCCAAGATGAAGAAATAGCTGATCTTGCTGGCACATATTCTATACAACTGATTCCCCACATGTTTTCCTTTGCTATAGTTTTTCCCACCCTCAGATTTCTTCAGGCCCAGAGCAAGGTTAAAGTGATCATGTGCATAGCATTTGTGGTTCTGCTCATTCAAAATGGCTTGCTTTACATGTTCATACATGTGTTTGGTTGGGGTGTAACTGGTTTAGCCATGGTGAGTGACATCGTAGGGTGGCTCTATGCTTTGGCTTTGGTTGTGTATACCATTGGATGGAACAAGGAAGAATGGAGTGGATTTTCTTGGATGGCATTCAGGGATTTATGGGCATTTTCTAAGTTATGCCTTGCTTCATCTGTCATGATTTGCTTAGAGCAATGGTATCTTACATGCATTATGCTCCTTGTTGGTCTTCTACAGAATCCTGTGATTTCTGTTGCTTCCTATTCTATTTGGTAAGATCATGAACTTTCAATTTAGAGTTATAAGATTGATTTAGTGGATTTGAAAAAAAACATACTAAGAACTAACATTTTCCTTAAAAAAAATCAACTTTCACTTATTTTAAGATGTTTAGATTGGTAAGTTAAAACAGTTTTTACCATGATTTTCACTTTCCAATGAATAGAACTCTTTGTCTGGCTTTTTGTGTTTTTTAGCTTCAATGTTCAGGGTTGGCACTTCACACTGCTGCTAGGAATAAACACAGCCATAAGGTGAGTCACTACAAATTATAACATGACAGTTTATGCAGATGAAAATTTTCTGAATTTAATTTCTCAGAAAACTGTAAGTGGTAGCATATTATGTTAACTAATGTAGACAGTTATGTTTGATGCATTGACATCTTTCATTTTTCAAAGAAAATAATGATAGTAATAGAACATGTTAAAAAGTGAAAAGAAAAATATATATAATTATATAATGATCTGTTTTCTTTACTTATAATTTTACAGTGTGTTAAATTCTTGTTTTGTGGTACTTAAAATTTGCATTGTTTTGATGCTTAGTTAGGATAATTAGAATTGAGTTCAATACTGTCAGCTGTTATTTTCTTTATTTTCACTCTCTGAATTTGCCTATCACAAGTATCTAGGATTCTGTAGAAAATATGGCTATCTCAATGTAAGTTAAGTTTTTAAGAAACTTTTTGGTTAAAGGCTATTTGAAGCATTCATCTAATATGCCTTTTATCATTATGAACAATATAAAGAATGAAAACTTCTAGTAGGAAGTTAGTTTACAGATTATATATAGGAAGTAAAAAGTAAATTTCTCAAATGATGTATATTTAAATGTACTATGAATAAATTTCTCAAAAGAGAGAAAATTATGGCTTATGGCTAATTGGAAGCATAAATAAGATTTAAAAGCAGATTACATATTTTGAGAAGGGTCTGTTAATCTGTGACTTGTTTTAAATTTGGTAACTTAAATTTGAAATGGCAGAATGCATAAACCAAAAGTTATGATTGATGAAAGTGTTTGAGTTCTTGGTTTGATTTCTGAATCTTTTTGTCTGAAAGTGTTCGTGTATCCAACACGCTTGGCATGTCACATCCAAGAGCAGCGAAATACTCTTTCTATGTGGCAATGTTCCAGTCTCTCCTCCTTGGTATTCTTTTCATGACACTTATTTTCCTCACTAAAGAAGATTTCGCCACCATCTTTACTAGCAGTGAGGATATTATACTAGCTGTCACCGAATTAGCATATCTTCTTGGTATAACAATGCTTCTCAATAGCATATCACAGGTCATTTCAGGTCAATATTTACTCAGACTAATATCTCCAAGGTTATATTTAGGTTTTTGATTATTTTTATTATTCTATTCGTATTTGACTCAATTTTTTATTTTCTTTTTTAAATAAAGATTCAATGTATTTAAGTTGATATTAATGCTATTTGAAAGTATTAAGTATTAAAACTTATATTAAGTCTTTTTTTTCATAGATTGAGAACATTTTCTTTTATATATTTGCATAGGTGTGGCCATTGGAAGTGGATGGCAAGTGATGGTTGCTTACATAAACATGGCATGTTATTACATTGTTGGACTCCCAATTGGAATTTTCCTTGGTTTCAAGCAGCATTTAGGGGTCAAGGTAACAATTTTCTTTTTACTTCAATGTCTAAGATATTTACAATGCAATTTCTCTTCATTGAACATTTACAATATTGAAATGAGTGAATATTTAGGGTCTCTGGGGAGGCACAATGTGCGGCAGTATTCTGCAGATTTTAGTCCTCTTGCTGATTATTTCCAAGACTAATTGGACCAAAGAGGTAACCTATATATATATATACTAAGACTTTCGGAGTAATTCAGCAGCTATTTTTTGGCAACCAATTCAAAAATTTGCACGGATGGTTTTTGCTGCTAATTAAAGTTTGATTTGTTTAACAAACTTTCATGCATGAAATTATTCATATATATTGTTTAATCTATTTTCTTTACTATGAAATATATACTTGATGGTTTTTTTTATGACTGCAGGTGGAGCAAACAGCTAATCGCATGCGAACATGGAACATTGACAACTACCACTCAGAGGATGTTACATGAGAAAGGCTACGTAATAATATGGCATTTTCAACCCACTTTCACAAAAAAAAAAATGTGGAAAATTAAACACACATATATTTTGTAGTTTATTACAAATTTGACATAATTATGCAAATTTTTATGTGTTTATGAGAAAATTCATTTAGGTTATTATATCCATGTATTGATACTAGATCAATATATACACTATTTAGGCTTCTTTTTGAAAACTTTTTCATGATTTTGTTCTGCGTTTCAAATAGATAAAAAAGAAAAACGTACTTAAATTATTCTTTATATCAACTTCTAAATAATAATAATATATATATTTAAATTATTTTTTATATCAACTTCTAAATAATGTAAGACATCGAGTAATTAGGGGAAATAATTTTTTATTTTTGGAATATTTTTTCATTTTCTTAATTATATATACACAAAACTGGGCTTTAACGTCACTCCAAAGACGTCGGACACCCTCCTAACCAACGTAAATTATTGATCGGTGACATTTTCGTAAATAAGTTGGACATGTAGACGTCTGTTACGAGGGTACCCGACGTCTAGGCTACTATAGACGTTGGTCCCTCCCGTAACAAACGTCTATATGTCTGACAGGCAGGTGAAAAGTCATTTTTTTCTGCCATATAGACATCGGATCCCGCCACCCCGACATCTATATATGACTATAGACATTAGCCCCTTGTAACGGACGTCTATATGGCTGATAGGGTAGGTGAAAGGTTAGCCTAGACGTCGGGCACCCTCCTAACAAACGTCTATATGCACCGTGAATATTAATTTTTAAATCCGAAAGACGTCATATTAGTGAGGGCCCCGACGTCTAGGCTATTATAGACATCGGTCCCTCCCAGCGCCTGACGTCTATAGCCTTTTATACAGGAAAACGCGAACCTGCGAGGAGTTACGTTCATTGTTCATCGTCTTCCTCTCGTGTTTTCTCTCTGGCATTGCATTTCCAGGTGCGTTTTCTCTCTTTTGGACCTTTTAAATTTACTTTTACTTTGATTAAATTACTCTTTGATGAAATATCTTCCATTTGAAACGATTAAAATGTGTTTTCGTTGCGTTTTGGTGCAGTTTTTGGTGTGTTCTTGGGCGGCATTTTTTATCCTTTTTGGCCTGCGTTTTTGGGCGTGCACTCCTTCATTTCCCTCCATTGAGTTTTTAATCTGCTAAGAAGGTTAGCTTACTTGTTGAAAACTTTTTGTGTATGGTGTTATTGGCTTTTGTATGCATATTATTGGCTTTTGTGTATGCATGTTATTGGCTTTTAAGTATGCATGTTATTGGCTTTTAGGTATGCATATGTTATTGGCTTTTGAATATGCATGTGATTAAGTTTTGTTGTGTTAGATTGTTATGTTAGATTATAAGTATCAAATCATTGAGTGAAACTTATTTCCCGTTTGAAATTTAACACAAACGATAAATCTTTTAATCGTTTGTATTAAATTTTGAATTGTCCGATTGGACAGTTTGGGAAAATTATTTTTCATAATTTGCTATAACATGTACGTTGGAGTTTATGGATAAGATTGATAAAATTTCGGTTCAGTACTTGTGTTGTTCTCCGGATGCATATTTGATTGTGGTCATCCGTGACCACTCTCATTTCGTGTATTTCGGAGATCAATGCGAAATGTTGTCGAAATTTTATCAAATTTATCATGTTAGACTTCTTTGCACGTGACTTAGCAAATTATGAAAAATAATTTTTTTGAATGGGTAGGGCCTCACCTTGTGAGATTTAAAAAATTGAAATTGATGAAGTATGTTACGAACATAGTATGGATCGAAGCTGGATGAAGGAACGTCGCATCAATGAAGAATATGAGAAGGATGTTTCGGTGTTCTTGCAATATGTTCAACAAAATGCAAAGTCTGTGAATGAGACATATTTTTGTCCTTGTGTTCTTTGTCTTAATCAAATACGGAAAGACTTAGGCAATGTGCGTGACCAGCTACTCCACAGGTATAATATTTTTATTATTAGTATTTGTATGTTAAATTTAAAAATATTTATTGATAACTTTAAAATTCTTATCTTCAGTTCACACGTCCTCAAAAGCAGCCGATGCATGAACCAGTCATAAATGAAAATGATGAGATGACTGAAGCGGAGGATGATCCTCTATCAAAGCTAATGACAAGATTACCTAAGTTGAAGAGAGGGCCATTAGAAATATACTGGGATTTGACACTATTTGGTCTCCCCCCATGTGCCATTATATATCACATTCAATGATGCATTGGAGATCATTGGGGGAGACAGGATGTTGAATATTTCCATCCTTCAACTATGGTGCATGTAAGATAGTTAATTTTGTCTTCCATATTAGTTTTATTTAGATTCCTAGTTTCTAACAACTTAACTTTGTTGTTTTAGGTACATGGACACAATCGTTGTAGACCAAGGTCGATCTTCCACGTACGGATTTGTTGAACCTTAGACCATTCAAGCTTCTGGTAACACACTTAAAAGCAAACAATATTATTTGCAATCATGGATGGCTGAGTCAAATAGAGACATATACTTTGTGCCATACATTGAGGGGTATGTTTTGTTTTATGTAAGAGTTCATTAAAGTTTACTTAATTAGTTTACTAACTATTTATGATTCATGATAGGTCTCACTAGCAGCTGATGGTCATCATTCCCAAACAAGGTAAAATTATATGGTTTTGTTCGCTGCATAAGAAGATGAAAAATGACTTGAGAAGCATGCTTGGTAAGTGTTTCTCCAAAATTGACTTTGAATTTCATGTTGACTTTAAATTTTATCATAAATATAGTTATATTAATTTTACTTTGTGTTTTCAATCTAAATAGAGTTATGGGTAAATCCCAAGGTCAACTAGTTCAAGTTTTGTATCCAAAGGTTGTAAGTCATTTATAGTTCTAATTCATTTTCTATGTTATTGAATTATCTAAATTCATGACTATTTAGTTTGTCATTTTAGTGTAACAAGCAGCTGGATTCATGGGAATGTGGCTGCTATGTCATATCTTGGATTAAGACCATCATTCGAGCTGCCATTACAGATGATTGGAATGAGGTAATGATGCATACCTTCAATACATTACAAATCAAATTCATCTTTGAATATATATGAAACCATATTGAATCTTTCTTCATTTTGCAACGCTTCAAGAGTACATCTCCTATACTAGAGGACACAATTAGGCAGATAAGGTAGGAGTGGACAACTTATCTTCTGCAAAGATGGAGCTAGGAACACTTATATTTGTTGTTGAACATTCCTTAGGTTTAGTTTAAGTTTATATTTTGATAGTTTCGGTATTGGATTGTTTTTTAGATTAATTAGAACTTTCTTTAGTTGAAACGCATATATATATATATATATTATAGTATACTGTTTTGGGACAATTTTTTGTTTTTCATGTGTGGTTTTATTGTAAAAATAAATTAATTTTTTTTACAAAAAAAACGTAGTAGACGTCTGTTAATGTCATGTCCGACGTCTATAGACGTCTGTCAGTGCACAAACAGAAATCCAATGAGTTATAGTGGACAAAAACGTTCTAGGTCTATAGATGTCAGACACAAATACATCCGACGTCTATATAGACGTTTGGTTTATGTGGACCGACGTCTATATAGACGTCTGGTGTATACAGTCCCACATCTATATAGACGTATGGTGTATACAGTCAGACATCCCATTAACGTCACCCACAAAGACGTCGGATTGGGATCTGACATTAAAAGACAAAAATAACAGACATTAAAAGCCCTTTTTACGTGATATAAAATATTATTTATTTTAAAATTCAAAATTTTGTCATAATTTTATCTTTAAAAGATAACTATAAAATTAAATAAAGAAAATGTATCTAAATTGTTATGATTTCAAATATGTTAAGACAATCTCATCAAAATCAATAAANACTATTTAGTTTGTCATTTTAGTGTAACAAGCAGCTGGATTCATGGGAATGTGGCTGCTATGTCATATCTTGGATTAAGACCATCATTCGAGCTGCCATTACAGATGATTGGAATGAGGTAATGATGCATACCTTCAATACATTACAAATCAAATTCATCTTTGAATATATATGAAACCATATTGAATCTTTCTTCATTTTGCAACGCTTCAAGAGTACATCTCCTATACTAGAGGACACAATTAGGCAGATAAGGTAGGAGTGGACAACTTATCTTCTGCAAAGATGGAGCTAGGAACACTTATATTTGTTGTTGAACATTCCTTAGGTTTAGTTTAAGTTTATATTTTGATAGTTTCGGTATTGGATTGTTTTTTAGATTAATTAGAACTTTCTTTAGTTGAAACGCATATATATATATATATATATTATAGTATACTGTTTTGGGACAATTTTTTGTTTTTCATGTGTGGTTTTATTGTAAAAATAAATTAATTTTTTTTACAAAAAAAACGTAGTAGACGTCTGTTAATGTCATGTCCGACGTCTATAGACGTCTGTCAGTGCACAAACAGAAATCCAATGAGTTATAGTGGACAAAAACGTTCTAGGTCTATAGATGTCAGACACAAATACATCCGACGTCTATATAGACGTTTGGTTTATGTGGACCGACGTCTATATAGACGTCTGGTGTATACAGTCCCACATCTATATAAACGTATGGTGTATACAGTCAGACATCCCATTAACGTCACACACAAAGACGTCGGATTGGGATCTGACATTAAAAGACAAAAATAACAGACATTAAAAGCCCTTTTTACGTGATATAAAATATTATTTATTTTAAAATTCAAAATTTTGTCATAATTTTATCTTTAAAAGATAACTATAAAATTAAATAAAGAAAATGTATCTAAATTGTTATGATTTCAAATATGTTAAGACAATCTCATCAAAATCAATAAATTCATCTCAATTATTATTCACTTTAAAACAAAATATATCATCTCAATTATTATTCACTTTAAAACAAAATATATCATCTCAATTATTATTCACTTTAAAACAAAAAATATTATCATAAATCTATATTTAAAAGACACCTAAAAAATAAAGCAAAATATATTTAAAATAATATGGTATGATTGATTCTTAAATCTTACTAATCATACTTTTTTTTCTAAAAGTTCCTTATGTTTAGTGATCACGTGAAAAAAAGCATTTGATATAATTTAAGTACTTTTGCATAATACAATCTGATAAGTTAAAATTAGATATTTTATGTCGATGCTTGTCCTAAACGGGTCTAATAACATCTTAATTATATTCTTTTCAAAAGTTTAGTGTACCTAAAAAATGTATTATATATTGACCGACAATATTTTTACTTAATGGATAATATTTATAAAATACAGTATAATAAAAATAATTTTATATTGAAATTATTTATTTTAATATATAATAAAGAATTATCAAGTGATAATTCTTAATTATTGTAAAAAATGAAAATAATAAATATAATTAATTTACTTAATTATGGTATTTAAACATAAACGAATCCATTGTAAATAAAGCTTCGAATACAGCTTTAATATGAATGAAACAAAAGTGTCAATCATCTCACTTTATTTCATTGTTTATATATTGCTTGAAATCTTCTACTTTTAACAAAACATTTTGTGGATATAATGGACGTCAACATTCTCCACCACTCATGGTACGATCAATTAATTCCATCGCCATTATCGTGGTTTACCTTTTCATGCCCCACTTTTGTCCTTATGATTTTCACAAGAAATAAATTAATTTTGTTTCTTCTACGCAAACTTCCTACACCACTCTTTGTTTCATAGAATGCTTTATAGTGTTGATATTGTTAGATTAAAAATAAGGTTGTTTATTACATACTTAAAAATACTAACTTATATATGACAGAAAATAGAAAGTTATAGAAAATAGAAAGTTATTGACATTTTCCAACGAAGATATCAACCATCATTTGATAAAGGCACTAGTAGAGAGATAAAAAACATAAAGTTATACTTTCCACTTCTTTTTTCTGAGAGAACTTAGGTTACATTACTTCGAAACTTGATTTGATTGAGAAGTTAATCATTAGTACCAGTAGTGGTTGGTTGGTGCATTGTGTGAACATTTACCTGGATTATTTTACACGTGATGTGAACATTTTTACCTTGATATTTTTCACATGATGGTGTTTGACAATTTTCCTTTTATACATTTTACAACAATAGAGTTTCATTAAGTTGGTCGAATGATGTGATAATTTGATTTTCGCCATTATATTTATAACAACCTTTTAAACTTATATTAGTTTCACAAAAAAGTAATGTACACTAAAAAAACAGGTATTACCAATGATTAAATTTCATCTTTTATTTTAAAAAGTTTTTCGTCAAACCAAAATTCGTCGGTAAAAATACATATGATAATATTTACTGATTGACCAAAATCTGTCATTAAAATTTGTCGATAAATATCATGATCTCTTTCATCTTCTTTCTCCTCTCTTTTTTTCTTCTTTTTTCTTTTAACTTATTTTTTCTTTGGCCCCCTTCACCTCCTCCACACATATCGCATTTCACCCTTAATCTTTAGTGGAGAGTGCATCTTCCCTGATCATCACGTTGAGAATCCACTATATTAGATTTGGTTTCGTCAATGAATTTGTGTTTCATGGTGAGATAATTAGAAGATAGTGCATAAGAAAATGGAGATCTAGTGGAGATGGTGTTCTCTGTGGTGGTTGAAGAGGCATATACGTGATTTAGGGTTTGCACGAATTGCTTCAAGGTGCATATATCTAATTGGATGAAGATGCAATCTGGTGAAGGTGGTTGACCAGGTATTATGTGGTCATGTTTCGTTGGTGGTTTGTTTAACAGAGGAGATTTGGTGATGCGCAACTTTTGGCAGTTTGTGGTGCTCGAACAAGTTATTCGTGTTTTCTGTTTGGTGAATTGCGAGAATGGTGACACTTGTAAAATATCCTCATGATTTGGTTTCATGAAGTAGTATTGTGATGGAGGGACATAGTTGTGTTATTGTTCGCAATTTAGTTTCGATGCGGGTATAATGGAGGTGCATGGTAGCTTTCATGCATTTATGTATTAGTGATTTTGGATTTTGAAGGTGAAATTGTTAAAGGGAAGAAAATGAGATAATGTACCTAGAAAATTTTTCACCTTTTTCATCTACGAATTTACCAACAAAAAAGTTCGTTCATAATAAATATTTAAATTATTGATGAATGTTATAAACAAATTTTCAAATTTAAAATTATTAAAGTATTTTATCCATGAAAACTATTCGTCAATAATTAAAATAGATATTATTAATGAATTTATAAACAAAAAAATCCATCAATAATAAAAAGTCATTTGGTAAAATCTATCAGTAATAAAAATTACAAAATTTATTAATAAATTTATTTTCGTTAATAAAATTTTATCGATAATTTGAAGAATTTTTATAGTAGTGGAGAGATGAATATAATTGTTTAATTTAAGAAAAAATAATTGTGTGACATTATGTAATTATGAATTTATTTCTTATAGGAGTTAATTTAGGAGAGATTTTTTAAAAGTTAGATTTTTTTTAAGAGG